TAATAATTAATAAAATCAAAGCAGGTGAAGATCATTGGTCCCATTGACAGAAATGATGGAAACAGGACAGGTCGCACTCCCGAAAAGAAAACAAACATGGAAGTCCTGCTTGCTGCATTCATGTTGTGCACATTTTGTTATGTTATTGGAACTGCAGTATCAATCTTCATGTCGACAATAACTAACCTTATGTTTTAAGTTTTGTGAGGTTATATTATTGCTGACATTCTGGCGCAGCCCTAGGATTTTCATGAGGCTGATGTATTGTCGCCTAAACGTTATTGTCATCAAAGTACTAAAGTAATTCTTGCCAAAACATTTCCTCTTGCGAGAAATCTGCTGTGCATGTCTCTATGTGATGACAACATCCCAGTTTTCATTATTTCTGGCTGCAGCAAGCGCCAAACTGGTGCTCCAGTGAAATGAACGCCACTGCTTGACTGGTAGACAGGTTTTGATTTGTCGCTCTGTGACAGGTCCACCGTGCCCACCCACCTCGCTGAAATGTCAGGACCGGATATTTAGGGCTGAGGGGTTAAGCACTCAAAAGTCAGTTGACTTAAAACAGAGACGTTGACAAAGATAATAACATAGTAACTCAAATTATTGTGCTGTTAGGGTTGATTGCTTGTGAAAATTTCATTAAAAGGAGGTTGGTGGTAATGACGAATATCTATGCTGTTAACATAGTGAACATTGTGGTCATGCTTGCCTCCTCGGGTTTCCAGTGGGGGTCAGAAGGTCTTCCCAGTGCAGATTCAGCAGGAACATGTAGTAAACTAAGTGGTGTCAACTTGAAAATTTACCCTTTACCTAATTTCAGGGTTAAATGACTGCAGTGTCTTTCAAGGACGTCTGGGATAGATAATGTTGAAGTTCACACTCATCTGAAGAGGCAAGAGGGATGAAGTGTGAGGGACCCTGCTGGAAAAGCCCAAAGGGATAAAAAGACATGTGGGACAGATGGACAGATGGATGCATCCCTTAGCCAGACACTCACCTGTTTGTACCTAATTAGTACTGTCCATACTTAATCATTGGTGTTTTTTGTGTAAAATAAAACAATTGTTAGCATGCTGGGAATTAATCTGATTAAAACCAACTACTATATGGAAGTATAGAAGCTTTTAACCATTTAGTTTGCAGCAAGCCAAAAATAATAATGTTTCTATGCTGGTGATCACAACACAATTAAGTCTAAATAGATCAACTAGTTATTATTATTATTATTGAAATACCATATTGACCAATATTTGTATTCAAGATTTTTAACTATTAAGTATAATATAACACAAATTATGATGACCATTTTATTAAAAGTTGGGTTATACCCAGTTAGTTTCTTGGTTCCAAAGTTGGAGGACATTTTTCTGCTGGTATGGTCTCACCTTTTACAATATGCTTTTCTGAAAATGATTCACTTAGTGTAGTAGGAATCTGTTTTCCATTTTTTCCCTTTGGAGATAAAAAATGAGTTCAGTTGGTGTGACCAGTCTTCCAGTTGTTCTCTAAGATTACTGATGGCAAAACTAAAATGGAGAGATGGCAAAACTAAAATGGAGAGATGGTTGTTCTAAAGACGAAGAATCCTGAAGAATCGCTGCCAGGACATTTGACCACGGGAAAAGTGAGTGGTTTCAAAATAAAAGTCCTGTTCATAATAATAAACAGGTTTACGAAACAGAAAGAGAAGTCAAGTTCCTCAGAATTGTCCAAGATCACTTCAAGAGAAGCCTTGATGCTTCAAAAGCATAATTAAACCAAATGTTTCAGAATATAATATGAAACATTATATCAGGGTGTGAACTTCATGAGATTGGAGTTTACACCCTAATATAATGTTACAACCATAAACTTCAATACATGTCATCAGGATTAGGAAAGAGCTTTACAACCTTGAACTGCAAATAAATTTGTTTTCTGCTTTGATTACACTTTTTAGCAACTGATTTTATTTAATGGGTATCAGGATAAAGGGGGATAAATACATACATGTATCCTTCCTACACTTTATTAGCATGTTCTACTTGTGTTGGTCTTTCACATAAAATGCCCTTAAACACAATGTGGTTTGTGGTTGAAGTTCAAGAAGTATGGAGACTTTTGTAGAAGCTAATGTTTTCATGCAAAATGTTGCTGAGTCACAACATGCCCTCGATTTTAATGGAGCCGCGCTAAAGGGGCCGTGTTAATGAAGACATTAGGACATGTGATGATAACCCTGTATATAGCATGTCGAAGCTGCTCAGAAGCCAGCAACACTAACTTTTACTGCATTCTGTTGCATCTAATAACCCTTTACATGAGTGTTCAGTTTCCAGCTCTGAAGATGAGCGAGAGAGTATTTATAACTCCTGCTCACTAACTCACTGTCTCCGTGTTACACTCATTACAAAACAGCCCACAGCTGCAGCTTTTTGCTTCAGAAGATAATGACCAAAAATTCTAGAGATTAAAAGACACCAAAACACAGTCAGAAGCAGCTGACCCGCTCCTGACACAAAATGAAAGCTGGTTTCATCTGAACGAGGTGACTGCCTGAGGCCTCGAACCGGAAGCGGGGAGAGCGGAGCAGAGGAAGTGGCGACTCCAGCCCCAGGAGGGGGGGTGGACACGCCTGGCTGGCCGTGGCAGTGACCGTGTCGCTCACACCGTGGCCCCCTCGCCACCCGTGTCAACTCTGATGACTTCAGCAGGCGCCCTTGTGAGCTCACCTTGCTAGGAGAGACGCAGGAAGTGGGATCAGCACCGTGACAGTGTCAAGGGGGTTTGAGTGTGTCATACCTGCTCTGGAGGGGAGGGGGATTTGTCCATGATTGTGTGTGCAGTCCAACACATGCAGCTGCTAATACCCCAGGGTTATCTGTTTCATCTGTGTTTATGAAGCAGATCCTCTGTCCAAGCTGAGCTGCAAACAACTCAGAACAAAGTCTCGAGCAGCACAGCTTATTACTGCACCAAGAGCCAAATCACTTTCTGTTTCGGCCAGATCACACAGTCATGGTCAAAAACAGAGTGCACACCCTCTGTCAGTCATAAATGGTCTGGGTTTCACCAGTCTCTAAACCTGTTTAGAGTTAACCTCAAGAGTAAAAACAAAGATCAGCAAAGATCAAGCCCCAGAAGCCCCAGAAGCCCCAGAATATGAAAGACGTTCTTCAGCTTTTGGCCACGACGGAGCAGGTGCAGCTGAATAAATCAGAACATCTATTCAAACAGTCAAACTGTGCTGTCATTACTCAGAGTGGGCATAATGCTTTTCAGTAGGAGGAACCATGAAGTTGGATTCTGTGCCTCTGCCCTCTTCCTACAAAATAGATGTCCACAACAAAAAGCAAACTTTTACTGTCATTTAAAAAGAAGATTTTGGAAATGGGAACAAAATTCCCATTCTTTTTCTTCTGAAGCCGAGACATTTCTCAGGTGGCTCCAAGAAGTGCAACCGTTGTAGACGATGACCTGGATTCATTTGTGGCTGATTCCTGCTGCTGTTCAAACTTTGTTCTCCCCAAAACTGAATGTGTTCTGCTTCGCAATCCTCTCGGTGATACAATTACCCTGTTGCTTGGGTACCTTTTACCTTCCACTAAATTTTCCACTATTATGACTGGATACAGCAGAGGGTATCAGCTACCTGATGGAAAATATCAGTCAATAAACTTTCTCAGTATTATGAAGGCCAAAAGACAACAAGGGTTGGATTTTAATTTACTGTAAAAATGAATGAATAAATAAATAAATAAATAAATAAATAAATAAATAAATAAATAAATAAATAAATAAATAAATAAATAGCACAAATAAAACTTTAAATAAATTGCTTTGTAGGTTTCACTTTTTAAACTGAATGGATAAAATAACTCAACTTTTTAGATAATTTACTGAGTTATGTCTGTATGTGATTAATTGCAATTGAGAAAAAAACTTTTTTTTTCTAATGACAAAAGCTTTGATTTGTCCAGAAATTAAAATTATTATGAAAAACTGTAAGAAATGTTTGAAAATGAGAATATTCAAGCTTCATCGTGGATTTTCTGATTCTGGTATTTATTGTAATATTTCAAAAGATTCAACTGTTGAAAGTTTTCCACGAGGTCAAATCCTTCAGAAATGTCAGCTTCTTTTACCCCAACGATTTTAATCATGCTGTTCGTAATGTCATTAATTTGTTTTAAAATAAAATAAAAAAAAGAAACAAGAAAAAATTAAAGTGCAAAATTACACATTTTGCACTTTAGGACTTTATGTTGGAGGAAATATTTTAGATTTTTTTTTTAATGAAATCCACTGTTTTTGCGCAAATTTTCAGAACAGTGTAACCAATGTCATTACCAGATGTTTAGAAATAATAGTTATAATAATACTAACAAAACAAGCTTTTTCTTCAGGTGAATCGGAAGTCAAATGGAAAGCGAAAACCAACCAAATTTTCTGATTCGATGATGATTCACCCTGTCGACTGGCTTATGGCGAGGAAAAACTAAGAAGGAGAGAAACACGGCCACAAAAAAAGACAAGAAGGCAACTGAAAGCGAGTGGGCGACTGTTGCTTGTACACCCAGGCATTCAGTCAGATTACAATAAATCCCAGTTTTAAACGAATTAACACTAGAGAGAGGACGGCTGACGTCAAAAAGGACAATGACTACAAAGCACATTAATTAAACGCGCAGATGTCTCTGAGGAGCGCACGAACTAAGTTGGAGACAAGTTCGGAATGCAAAATGCATTTAATCGAACTGCGCAAAAAAATATACCTTTTAAATCCCTACTTATATTAATTAGAAACAGTTTGGTGAGGTGTTCGAGTCCGTCACAGTGTGTGTGCCGGTGAGTGTGTATGCATTATAATGGAGAGGAGGGGTGGCTCTGTCGTGTCTGGAGCCTATCGCGTCCTCTCTGCGCGCTCCTGACACTCCTCCAAAACACGAACACTTAATATATGTATGTCACAGGTTAAAAAGTGGCGCATGTGTTTCAGTCACTGTTGGAGTCAAATAAAAGACATCTACTCACTAGTAGTAGTAGTAGTAGAAAAAAAAAAAAAGAAAAAGAAAAGAAAACAGAAAAAGCTCAAGTTTGGTGTGAACGGAGATGTTTTCACCTCTGAGCGGCGGACAAGTTTAAATGTGCCGCGTTTCTCTCCTAGGTGAGGATAAAACAGTCCAGACTCTGCTGCTTTTGTTGTTATTTTTCTTCTTTTTTTCTCTCTTTTCCTTTTTACCGGCAGTCTGAGTTAAGCTTATGACTTTTGACACACTCCGGGAGCGACGCTGCAAATGGGCGGCATAGGTGGCAGCCTCTACCTCAGCATGTTGAATGGGACTGAAGCGCAAACTCTCGGAAAGAGCGTCGACATCAGCAGCCACCTCCACCGCGGCGGCAAGGATCTAGCCGAGTTCAAGATGGGCATCCAGGACACCCGCTTCTACTATCCGGACTCGGTTCAGGGCGGCCAGGACCCGCTGGCCCTGCCCTACCACACGGACCAGACAGTGGGGGGCTACGGGGCGCCAGCCGGCAGGTTTTACGCGCAGAGCTTGAGCGGCTGCCCCTACGGCGGGGTGCGCTCTCCGCAAAGGAGCGGCGCCGGGCAGGGATACGTCCCCGCGGCGGGAGAGGGGTTCCCCACTGGAGGTAAAGACCCGGTGTACTCCCCCTCTGCGGAGAACTACCCGGGCTTCCAGCACGGCTATCAGCGGCCTCTCTACCCTTTACCTGGGCTGCAGGTGTGCGGGAAGACCCAGGTTGTGCTAAATAACTACCCGCTGTGGGCCAAGTTTCACAAGTTTCAGACCGAGATGATAATCACCAAGCAGGGCAGGTAGGTCTCACCCTCATTGCTCACCGTCTTTGCACAGACACTTGTAGAGGAAATTACACATTTTGCACTTTAGGACTTTATGTTGGAAGTTTTATCTGTTCAGAGCCGTGCAGGCGGAAAAACCATCACTGGTCAGGTGGTAGAACTGTTGCAAACTTTTTGTAATTTATTTATTTGTTTTTTTGGTGTGACTTTTTCAGATTGAACGCTCATAATTAACAAAGATTTCCAGTTTTGATAAGACACAAACCAACTTTCAGAGATTAGTTTCTCTGGCAGCATCAGTGCAAGCCAAATACTTTTTTCTTTGCCACTGAACATTTTTGAGGTTTCATTGTTAAGGGTGAAAAAATGCTTTTGTGCGAGAGACACATGTTGAGAAATCTTTCTGAAATCATCTGAATTAGCTTTCTAGGAGCTCGTGTTACCTCTTCTGAAGTTAAACCATCTGTAAAAAGATTTAGAAAAAAATTAAATCACACATTGCTGCTCAGTCGAGACAGAAAGAAGGCCTAATAATAATGAAACCGCCACTACTGCGGTGAATTAAACTGTTAAAGCGGATGCCAAAGTTGTGATAAACACTAGAAAAAAAAGAAGAAGAAATGTTTTAGTTGCAGGGCAGAGGGGAAAGAAAAACACAGAGAGTGAGCGATAAAGGGAGAGAGAGACGCTGCCGGGCTTCTCTGCAGGTCACCGAGCATTAAGATGCAACCACGTCGATGGGGATTAATTCTCTAATACGCGACACTTGTGTTTGACAGAAGGTTTCAGGCCAAAGGTTTCTCATGGCTCAGATCTGCACCAAAAAAAAAAAAACAAATCCATGTCACCATAATAGCAGTGATATTCTCGGCACATCTGTAGACTCTTCTCTTGTTTTGTTTTGGGTTTTTAAAAAAAATAAATTTCATGCAAAGGTTAAAAAAAACCTTTATATAAGACAGAAACAAGAAGAATTAAGGTGCTGCAGCTCTTCTTGCAGATTAGTCCCCTTTGACCTTCTTTGCTTGTGTCTTTGCTTTCTGGTTGAGTGCAAAAAAAAAAAAAGAGTTGAAGAAGTGGAGCACAGTTCAGGCTCCTCTTTGAAGTCAACAAAAGCTTATTTTAAATGTATGAGTGCCATTTGCAATACCTGAGCAAAGAAATCAATTTAACGGCTGAAATCACCACTCACTCTTACACCTAAACTCCACGTTTCCAAGGGTTATGATGTCGCAGTTGTTTCTGATGAGCGGGACGTCAGATTAAGGTTGTCTTAGATAGTTAAAGCTTCACGACTGAAAAAGAGATGGAAGATGCACTTGCATTTGCTCAAAAGTAAAGCAACAACAAACCAATTTAATGGTTAATCTCAAGAATTCCAGTATCCTACATTTGGGTTAAACATCATTTCCTGAAGTCTTCTCCTCCCACTGTCCATTGGCTCTTAATGGAGGCAGTGGTTAAAATATCCCACTTATCCCATGCACAGTAGACGTCAACACTCTGTGTTCTTTCTGCTTGGTAGAGAAGAAAAAAATGTATATTTCCATATTTGTTGCCAATAGAGCAAAGAAAAAGCTCTGCAGTTGGTCTAAAACCTGCGAGCATTAAAAAATAACTAACTGTTGTGCTGATAAAAATGATTTTAATCAGAGAAATTGATATGGTTTTTTTTTTCTGTTAAAATTCAAATGCAATATATTGATGCTACTCAAGGTAGACATTGCAGCAGTTATGATGTAATTCAAAATATGTCATATAGTTTTTTAGGTTTCCAAGCATATTGGCAGAAAACCCTTGATTCCAAATGAACGATTGCTAACTGTAGGCTTAGCATGAGGGGCAATGAGAGAAGTAGGATTTAGGTATTTTTATAATTTTTTTATTGTTAATCATCACGAAAACTGCAAATATATTATTTTATGTTCTGATATATTATTAAATAATTGAAACATCACTGATAATAGCATCACATGTCTTTGCTTAAAAAGCACTTCCACAAGAAATACAATTCGAAAGCCGCTGTGTCTGGTGCATTCAGATCGCCACCTACATATTTTCTATTTGCAATGAGACTACATCAAAGTATGTCTGAGGATTTTTGTGCACAGAAAGTCACTCAATCTTTTTCTTGGGAAACTGTCAACACTTCACCAGAACTTATAAGATATTTAAAAAGTCGATTTAGTTTTTATTTGGTTACACTTGGTGCTCTGTTTCTCCTCTTTCTTAACAGACATTAAAAAGCTGCTTGTGTGTGTTTACATGTTAAGAATCGGTGTGAGATGATGATGCATCAGCTTCTGGATGGAGAGCCCCATGCCTCAGCGCGATATTTGAAACTCATGTGCCAGGGGACGTGGGTTGGGGTTGAGGTGTAGAAATAGGGTTAGGCGATTTTGTTATAATTTTGGTGACTCCTTTTATTGCATCAATGCATATTTTGTGCGTGCATGCAAAGATTCAGGTGAAGATGTGGCTTTTCTTTCCTGTTGTTTCTTGTTATTTTTACCCAGGTGTGTGTGCGTGTGTCGCCGTGTGTGTGTCATTTGACAATAACTCCCCTTGACAGCTTCCTCTCCAGAAACACTCACTGTGGTCAGAAGATTTTAGTCCACCAGGTTATGTAATTAAAATGCATTTTTATTTTTGAAGCCGCTATTTTTTTTAAATAAAAAAAAGTTATACTGACAAAAGACATTATGCACATAGGGCTTTTCAATCCACACGTGAGAAAAAGCCAATTTTCATGTGTGCAAAAAACCACAGACCTCACATTATGAAAATTTCAATTCCTGACGATGACTGTGCTGTTTGCCTTTTACCTGTGTAAACAAGAAAGACATTTTCTCAAGAAACAGAAGAAGATTTTAGAGAAGTTGAGCAGAGCAGCACTAAAAGAGAATCTTTTTTACCTGTTTTTTTTTTTCAATATCAGAGGAAAAATCCTCGTCAAATTTTAATCCTGGGTTCAGGCCTCCAAAGTAATTTTACTGTGATTTCAGAGAGCAGTCCGAGGGTCTGCAATGTTAATCAAAACATCTTCAGGAGGAAGGGTGAGAGAAATGTGAAGGGAAGGGTCAAACACCAGCGAGGCTTCAGATGGCCACACTGAGGAGCCGAGGTACCTTTGAAGTTCAGGAAGTAAAAGAGGAGATTCTCCCTCTCTCTCTTTCGTTTTTTTTTTTCCCTGCTTTCTTCACCTGATACATGCAGGGTGCAAAGATCTCTCAGAAGTTTTTACTCATGTACCACACCTGGCCTTTGAAATATAGATGCATTTTTGTGACCCCGTGGCAGAGCGAGGGAGAGTTCAGCCGCTCTTCTCACGAGCCAAATTCAGATCGCTGCACGAGCCGTTGCCATTTCAGGTGCCGTGTTTGTGGCAAAGTTCAGGCGTGCTGGGTGCCGTCGAGCCGCCGCGGTTCAACATCCATCACTGTTTCAAATGTATTCAGTTTGGCTCCAAAACATAGGATTTTATTCTGGCTTGGTTTTAGTTGCAGCGGGCGACTAAAACTGAAACAAGAAAGTGAAATTTTCTCTCCGTCGATCATTGCTTTGGCCATTTTTATAATCTCACACCTGTGGGTGTTCTTTTTTTTTTTTTTTTTATTCAGATATGAGTCAAAAAAGAAAAGTTTTCCCTGCAGTGGGTTTCTCTCCATCGAAGGGGGAAATTTGGTGGAAAATTAAATATATTTTTTTTCACTCGTAAAACTTCTAAAACATGTTTGTGCTGTTAAAAGAAGGCACTGAAATGAGTATTTAGGAGCCAAATGTAATATTTTTTACAAAATTGATTCTGAGACTTGTGGCTGTTAAAAAAAAGTTTGCACTTATCTCAGAAACCTGCTGCATCAAGTGAAAACTGTATATCTTAGCTACAATAAGTGCACTGCAATAAAATTTTAGGAACTAATTTATGATTCAAAAACAATTTATTTTTTAAGCATTAAATGATAAGTCACATTTTTAAAATTTATGTTTCTGGCACTTATTTCCTGTATCAGGTTTTGACTAATCTTACTAATTTAATTACTAATTAATAATTAGTAATTAGTAATAGCTTGTGCTATTCTCTACCACAAGCTATTACTAATTAATAGCTTGTGCTATTACTAATTACTAACGCAGTGTGTCTTCCAGGAAGGAGAGTGAACTGACTAAGATCTCACTTTATAACATGTTTTAGGGAAATCTGCTACAGGAGGATTCATGCTCATCTGCTCTCTTTGCTCCCCTGAGTCCAAGCAGTGACACACTGCAGTTTAACGTCAGCTCTCTTTGCAGAAGGAAACAATCATTTGATTTTGTTTGCTCCCAAGAATAGAAAGTACAAGTCAGTACTGAAGGTAGCTGCTAAGGCTAAATCATATTAATAAGCAAGATCTGACCCAACATGAAACGTTATTAAAAAAAAACAGAAGAAGAAGAAGAATCACTTTTGAGCTTAGTAATTGTGTTAGAATCTGTTTTATTTGATCGACATTTTCGAGTAAATCAGAGTATGTGGTCAACGCTGCAGGTGTTTTCCTACATTTGTGCTAAAATATCATCAGATGAACCAATAATAAAGCAATATTTAGGAAGAACGTTTGGAAGTGACGTTTATTCATTTTCTTGCTCGTTGTTTAAAAAGCAGAAGCGGGACCATTTCAAGGTTTTGACAGTATGACCAGTCATTTCCTGTTCAGCTGTCTATGTGTGCCTTTGCAGCCTTTTCGCAGAAACATCTAGTGCCAATATTTTCACATAGCCGAGCTGAGAACTTCCTCCTTTCGTGCAAAAAAACAAAAATCCTCCTCATTCAATGGCCATTCGAGAGCACCGCAGTTTGAGCCGCAGGCCTATTAATACAATCCTCACTGTTGCTGTTGATCGCAGAGAGAAGTTCTCTATATTTGGTATTAGTAAGGTCAATAGAAATGCAAAAGAGTTCTAAAAATAACGTTATCTGGAAGGAATTTTAAATAAAATGGGAGAAGGCATGTTTTTGACAGGTTTTTTTGTGT